AGCGTGAGCGTGAGCGTGAGCGTGAGCGTGAGCGTGAGCGTGAGCGTGAGCGTGAGCGTGAGCGTGAGCGTGTGCGTGTGCGTGTGCGTGTGCGTGTGCGTGTGCGTGTGCGTGTGTGTGTGCGTGTGTGTGTACGTAGGGTGGATTAAGATTAGGGTTTATTTTAGATTAGCGAGGACGCTAAAGTCGATGGCTTATAGAAGCCATCGTCTTGGAGGAAAGGAAGGTAATGTAAAGTGTGGTTTGCATAAGTTAGAAATAGTAGTTGGGTGATTAGAAATGTCGCGACGATGGTTGCATAATGGGTTAGTCTGCGGCAGCGCGTTTGATGTAGTATGGATGATGGAGACGAGAAACGGTTGAGAGTCAGTTGTTGTGCATGTGTGCAGCTGATGTGGTTGTCCGCGCGCGCGGTTGATTTCTTTGTTAGCTAGAAATGGAAGGTTAAAAGTGGTTAAAAGAGGAAGACGGACGAGAGTGCGGGTCACGCGGATGCGTGCCTCTGTGCGATTTTTGAGAAACAATAATACTATTTGCTAAACACAACTGCTTGGACATTGGAGTTTCCCTTCTTCATCTCTACAACAAATCCACTTTCAAACGGGTAACATCACCGCTTCGTTACACTAGCTTAGTAGCCCGGTATAGCGTGTACACACTGCAAGAATTTAGCACGCATCTGGTCCGGACTAATTAGATGTAAGGTCAAATTTGCGGTCTGTACAGGGTATTAAATGTCTTCCAGTCATTATATGCATGGGCACCTGCGCAGGGGCGTAGCCAGCGAGAGTGGGCTTCTTACAACAGCAGTGGAACTTCTCGAAACAGGAAGTGGCGGCAAAATCGCCAGCGCGAGCCCCATTAAGCACGAAGCACCTAATGGGGTGGGGGGTCCTCCCCCAGAAATTTTTTGAAAAGTTCCACGTGCAATTTCCCAGTACTTTTAAATAGTATTTTTAGACATAATAGTTTTTGAGTAACTTTTCGCCAAATAACTGACTTCTGGAACCGATTTCACGAGAAAAATCAATTTAAATCCTTTTTGTAAAAGTTTAAATGTAAAAAGATTTAAACTAATTTAGTGACTCACTTGGACCTATAGTGTTGTATGGTCTTGCCTCTGAACACTCAAGTAAACACGTCTGTTTCTGTTCATCACACAAGCTCAAAGACCCCGTATGTTTTATTCTCACCGTCACGTGTTGCATATACAATAGTGTCATAGATCACGTGTTCGTAAACGAATACAGAAAGTAAATCATAACATACTAACTACACTACATTCCTCCTCTACTTGGATAAAAAATTATATTCGTCTGCGTCAACTTTAGACTCATTTTCAGTATCTGTATATTATAGGCACATCGGCAAAACTGGACTTCGAATGTAAACCTTTATGCGTTAACCAAACTTGTTCATCAGTTAAAACATTTGAAAACAGTAATCTCTACACTAGTAGTAAGTCACAATATAAAATCCATTTCTTTAACAAACAGCTATGTTTTAACCTACAGCTCCTAACGTCGTCTGTAAGTTACCACAAATCTAAATATGCATAACAAACTCTTTAAAACGCGCAGGCTCTTGCTTGGTACGTGTAGAGCGTCTGACGTTCCCCTCTGCGTTGTCGTGTAGAGCATCGTGTGGTTCGTCCAATGGTAACTCCACCATTGCTTCATCATCCATTTCTTCTCCATTCGCGACTGGATGTACGCGTTTGAACTTTGATATATTGCGTGCTATCTCATGATCTCCCCGCTTAGCTGTTACCATGCTCCCTTTTCGATTCTGCACCTTGTATGGTCGTGGATCGTACGGTGTAGACAGCTTATTCGACCTTTGCTGCTTCACTATGACCGTATCACCAATTTAAATCCTACTCTCTCTTGCATGGCGTTTGTAGTCAGCATAGGACTTCATCTTGTCCTTCCTCCGCTTATCGACTGCACGAATATCTCGAGCTTTCCTGTCTCCCTGAAGGTTAGTTTCTGGTAGTTGTACCTTCATCTTTCGGTTGTTGAGGGCCTCTGCTGGTGACATCCCAATGCTCGAGTGCGGCGTCGCTCGATATTGACGAAGAAATCGAACTAAATCGCACTTCCAATTTCGACCTTCGATGTTAGACACTCGGATTGTCTTATTTAGTGTTCTCATGCATCGTTCAGCTTCTCCATTTGCCTGTGGCCACAACGGTGTAATACGTCGGTGATGAAATCCCAACTCTTCTGCAAACGATGAGAATTCTGCACCATTAAACGGTGGTCCGTTGTCGGTTTTCACTGTGTCTGGTATACCTTGCCTGGCAAATATGCTATCTAGTTTAGGAATTGTGGCCTTCGATGATGTACTTGTCACCAGCTCTACCTATCTCTATCTGGAAACCTACTATACTCATCTACCACTACTAGCAAGTATTCTCCCGTCGGAAATGGACCGGCAAAATCTACTGCCACTTCTTTCCATGGTCCGCACGGTAGTGTTGTCATCTTCAGATATTCTGGTCCTTCTGCGTTGTTGGCGGTAGCAGCTTGGCATGGCAAACACTGCTTAATTCGCTCTTCCACCAAACGATCTATACCCGGAAACCAAACCTTCTCACGTAACAAGCTCGGTGTCTTGACGACACCTTGATGTCCGACGTGGGCCAATTCGATTGCTTGCTGACGTAACGAAACTGGCAACACAACCGTGTGTTCCTCAGCGCAAAGCCATTGAAGACTGCTAACTCATCCTTCACTGTCAGATATGGAACGAGTTCCTCATCTGCCCAGTGTCCATGTTCAATTGCACGGATTAGCCTCTGTAGCACCGGATCTCTCAAAGCATGTTCCTCTACGTCTCTTACAGTGAGTGCCTTGGGCACACTGTTTGTACACACGTAATTTATATAGTCTTCCGCCGCATCTGTCGCTGCTGGTTGATCCGGATGCCTACTCATGTAGTCAGCAGGATTTTCGTCATCTTTTCCTGGACGGTAGCTGAGAGTATACTTATACGGTAACAACCGTAACCTCCATCGGTCAATCCTGGCAGATGCTTGCTTATGACTGGCAACTAACCCACTCAGTGGCTTGTGGTCTGTGATAATATCGAATTCACTCCCATACAGATAGAGATGGAGTGTTCAGCACCCCATACTACTGCTAACATTTCTCGTTCTGTTTGTGAATATCGCTGTTCAACACTAGATAGTGCTCGGCTAGCGAAACTAACGACTTTCCCGCCTTGGCATAACATGGCGGCTACGCCTACTGGGGCGCGTTTCATAAAGCTCCGTTCGCTATATTCTCCGCTATCTCCTCCGCTAACTCCCGAGTTGTCCGCTAAATAGTGGAGGACGCGTTTCACGAATCTCCGTTCGCTAAAGTCGCTCGCTTTTTACCTCACTTTAGTGGACAACTTTAGCGGGAGCTCCTGCACGTCCCGCTAAATTTAGCGGAGCGCTCTTTGGTGTATATAAAACCCATAAAAATGCAAAATTCGCACTAAACTACCATGAAATAAGAGCTTACGTAATAAAAATAGTCTTGGCTGTTTATCGTGCATGTTATTGAGTAAAAAGAATTTGTTTAAACTGCACTAAGAGTATGACAAAGGTTGTGTAACTAGTTTACCATGCATGTATGTATTGCAATGATTATTATGCCACCGATTTACGTAGGTTCTACGCGTGTAGCGAGTATTATGATTAGCACCAAGAGCCTGTTAATTAGCACCAAGCAGTTAGCACTAAGCACCAAGTTCTTGTTAGCACGTATAACGAGTTCCGAGCATGTGGCACACGATGCTACAGTAATTAGCACGTAGCCCCAAAACAACTACAATCAAGCTACAATGCGTAAGGCTAACGCTCCATCAGTTGTGTTCCCATCGTCGATGCAAAAACAGCGAGCAAGAGTGTGTAGCGAGAATCATGGCAAACTTTTTATTCTATGCAGCCTATAATAGAGAACATGCAAGAAGAGGTCTGCGAAGAGAAAGAATCTTTAGAGACAGAACGCATCCGTTTGATGCATACAATGACAGCGAAATAATCGCTAGATATAGATTGCCTAGACATGTTGTTGGTGATCTAGTGGATCAACTTGAAGAAGAGCTCTCGCCAAGAACAATGGGATCTAGGGCCATACCTACCTCTCTGCAAGTGTTTGCGGCACTACGATTTTACGCAACTGGAAGTATTCAGCAAACGGCTAGCGATACACTGGGAATCAGCAAGGCATCGCTGTCAAGAATAATTTACAACACTGGCACAGAAATTGTCACGAGCACTGGCAAATCACGCCAACCAGCATGTTTACTTTCCTGAAGATCAAGGCAGTGTGAACAAGCTAAAACTGGACTTCTACAACGTCGCTGGATTTTCTAACGTACGTGGATGTTTTGATGGCACACACATTGCAATAGCTGCGCCTAAGTATGGTGAACATATATACGTCAACAGAAAACAGTACCACTCGATAAACGTGCAAGGCATATGCAGCGCTAACCTAGAATTTTGTCAACATTGTGGCTCGCTGGCCCGGCAGTAGTCACGACTCTTTTGTTTTCCAAAACTCACACATTGGAAATACGTTCGCAACGGGAAACATTGACGGTTGGCTGCTTGGTGACAGTGGGTATCCACTTCGACCATATCTCATGACACCTATCCTGAATCCAAATACAGAATCCGAACGGTACAAAAGAGAGTGTGCATTTGGTGTGTGGAAACTACGCTTCCGATGCCTACATCTGTCTACAGGTGGAGCACTACGGTATACCCCGGACAGAGCATGTCGGATAATTATGGCAACCGCTGTACTACATAACATTGCAGTAAGAGAGAAGATCCCTCTCCTCCCTGATGAGAATGAGGCTGAATTCGGAGGTGACGATATTAATGTGGGCGAGAGACCTAATGACAATGCAGATGGGAGGCGTGTGCGGGAGCAGCTGATACAACAGAGATTTGCAATGTAAAACTGTAAATAAGTATGTAATCTGTAAGAGTAAGTGCAAGTGCTAAGAGCAAACGTAAACGTACTGGCTTTACAACTAAAAAAACAAGATGAAATCTTTTATATTATTTTAATTATATTGTAATACTAAACTGAGTATATTATATAGCACTCAACAAAATACGTCTTTGTTAAACATTATTACACAAGGATCATACTTAAAGTTAATGCTAGTATGTTTTGAAGTAAACTAAAGAATGTATGAATTTTGAGCAGTGGCAAGTAGAATTTCTGAAATGATTTACAGTGTGTATTATGGATATTATTACGACTTTCGATTTGTTAATTGTGCGTTTCTTGATTGTACATAAATATGAAAAAATATTGATATATAAAATAACATTATAGCAACAGCTTATAATACCTTATATATAGGCTCTTGATTATATATAATAACAATATATGATGGATAAATGATGAAATTACATGATAGATAAATAATAACATTGTATGATAGATAAGTGATAACATTATATAGGATAGAAGGATGATAACATTATATGATAGATAACAAATAACATTATACAATATATAAATGATGAAAGTACATGATATATAAATGCAAAAATATATGTGTTTTGTTTTTCGCTTCTACGCTTTACAAGGTGCTCACTCTATGTTGTGCGACATCAGCTGTTTCACTCGTGCCTTGCTCCCCCATCCATGCCCACCTCTTCATCTCTAATTTTGCGTTTTCCAATTCTAGTCGCTGCTTCTCTACATCAAGTCGTTCTTCTTCCATGCGCAGTCGCTGCCGTTCGGTTTCCAACCTCTCCTCTTCCACCCATAGTCGTTGTCTTTCAATACACACCAGTTCATTAGATGACACTACCTCTTTATGCGTTCTTTTCTTTCCTGACTTAACCCATCCTCCCTGAGTTAACTCCTCCTGTAGCAATGACTGTGGCGGTACGGGTGTCATCGGTGTTGGTGCTGGTGAAGCTGGCTGTGACTGGGATGACTGGGAGGACAGAGATGATTGAGATGATTGAGACCGAGCAGGTGACACTGCTCCGGGTGAAGCAAGAGCGTCATGCGCTATCCCGCTTTCTATACCACCAGCGATGCCTTCTGTGGCTGCTGTCGGAATAATACTAAGCACCTTTTCTTCAATAGGCGTTAAATCTGGCAGATCAACGATACCTCCGCCAGTAGCTCTGCCAGCCTTCTTACGCCGTGCAACCTTGTTTTTCACATCACTCTGTAGGTAGCTCCATTTCGATCGGCATTCCTCGCCTGTCCGTTCAATATCGCTTATGGCATTTATCTATAATAAATGCAATATGATCATTAGTTTCCAGAAAAAAGTGTTTAAATTTTTATTCAGGGTGTGCGTTGACTTACACGCTAGTAATATAAATGCTTATGCTCATAACTTGAAAATATTCAATAATATAAAATAAAACCCTGTTACATTAAAGTCAAAGCAATTTAGCAATACATTCAAGTAGCAGTTTAATAATGAACTCATCCAGTATGTATGCCCCTCAATAATAAACAAGTAATGTATGAAAGACAACATACATATGACACATTGCGGCCGACCCACACTACCATTCATTTACATATATTGCATACAAACAATGAGCGAATGCTCAATCAGCCTTTACTAACCTTTTCAGCTATACTACTCCACATCGCTTTTTTCCTCTGAAACGTGAGGCTGTAAGAAAACTTGCCGAAAATAACACTAGTATTTTCCGACACCTCATCAACAAGAATTTCAAGTTCTGTGGGAGTAAATCTTGGGCGGCGCTTGCCATAGCGTTAGTTCTAGAGCTATCTCTATCCTATCTCTATCACGGCGCTGTTGCTTATGTATATGATAGAACGTAACCTAGCAACTGCAACACATGTTTGTAGTTATCTGCCAGCTGACTGCCTGCATTCCTCCGCTATTTAGCGGAGGCATAGCGGAGCGTTCGTGAAACAGGAGTTGTCCGTTCGCTAAGTTCTCCGTTATGCCTCCGTTCGCTAAAGAGCGAACGAAGAACTTAGCGGAGAACTTTAATGGAGCTTTGTGAAACGCGCCCTTGGACTTGCGTCTACTACCACTTCTGATCGCTTGGTTGGATCAAAATACTCCTCTGTGCACACGCTGGTGAGTTTATTCTTGAGGTCATCAAGTGCTTTCTCGTGCACATGTCCACTTCCATTGAGCACCTTTATGTGTAAGTTCACGGAGTGCAGACGTCACATCAGAATAATTTGGTATAAACCTGGATACATATTGTGCCATCCCTAGTAGCGATCTGACTTCACTTGCGCTCTGGGGTACACTAGCATTTACGATACCAGATATCTTCCTAGGATCGACAGCGATCCCGTCACTGCTGAAAATGTGTCCGTAGAAAGTAACTTGTTTTTGTCCAAACCTGCATTTGTCCTTATTCAGCTTTAAGTTGGCTTGTTCAAGTCGCTCTAGTACCGCTTTCAGGTTTTTGTCGTGCGATTCTTGGGTTTGTCCATACACAATGATGTCATCTGACATGTTTTTGCATCTCTTTAAACCGGAAAACACTCCTGATATAGTGCATTCTGAAAGATCTCCGAAGCGGCGTTGATACCGAACATTAACCTTTTGTATCTAAACAGTCCAACATGCGTTGAGAATGTTGTAATGTATCGACTCTCAGGTTGGAGTTCCAGTTGATGATACGCCGACCTTAAATCCAGCACACTAAAAACTGATGCACCATTCAAGTCTGTGATCAGCTCGTCGATTGTCGGCATGACATGTTTTGTGCGTTTTACGGCTTCATTCGCTTTCCTCATCTCCACACATATCCGAACCTCATTGTTTTTCTTTGGTACCACCACAATAGGGCTGACCCATGGCGTTGGACCGCTAACCTTCTCGATAACGTCCATTTCTTTGAGTTTGTCCAGTTCCCTCTCGACAGCTTTCCTTACGTGGAATGGAATACGTCGATGTGGTTGTTGCTTTGGCTCCACATTCTCGTCTATGTATAACTTCACCTGTATGTTTTCCGCTTTGCCCATACCCTTGAAGATGTTTGGAAACTTCCCGGCTATCGTCTGCATCTTAGATGTCACACTCTGTGCTACATGTATAATGCCTAGATCTTCAGCTGCTCTGTAGCCTAAAAGGTTACCTATGCTGCCATCTACAACATGAATATTAGTCTCCACAACCTTCTTGGCATACTGTATCTTGGTTATAAGTACTCCAATGGTAGGCAAAGGGTTTCTTGAGCCATAAGGGTAGACCTTAGTCGTCGGTTGTTAAAACAGCAGTGGCACGTGGGAGGGCCCCTTTAACCGGTTGAAAGTTTCGCTGTCTATGATGTTCACTGATGCCCCTGTGTCAACAGTCATTCTTACGACTTTCCCCTCAATCTTTACGTCGCACGTTGGTAGCTTGTCCCCGTGCTGTCTCGCACCAAACGTGCACTCATCGTCCGAGGAATCCGACTGATGTGCTTCCATCTCTGCTGTAGAATGCTTGTCCTTTGTGACGTGATACGCTGACTGTTCTCTTCTCTGTCTTGATCTACACACTGCAGCGAATTGGTTAAGCTTCCCACATGATCAACAAGACTTGCCCCTGGCTGGACATGGCTTACTTTGGGAGTGTGGATACAGTCCACCACAATTACGGCACGTAGCCTTCCTACCCACCAGTCGTGAGGGCTTCTGTATCTGTGCAGTAGCTTCCGTCGGCTTTTGTCTAGCCTGCTGTTTGTTATGAAATGGTTTTGAATGAAGAGCGTCGACGGTCCTACCATCATTGTCACCTTCAATACCACTTGCCTGTGCTTCTGACAGTTCTAGTGTTCTGCCATATACTAGCAGTTTGGCCAGTGTCAAATCCGTTTCCCGTAGAGCACGTCGTCTTAGCCGTGATGACTGACATGACTGAATGATCTGTGTTTTGATTTCTCGATCGCTGTCTGCAAACTCACATGTCATCACTGTCTTAGCCGTGTGTGTAATGTGTCCAATGACTCACCAACAGCTTGTTTATCTTTCCTGAACAGGTAGACTTCATACTCCATATTTCTCTTGGGGTCGAGGTAGTTCCTCAAACTGTCACGGGCGAGCTCAAAGTCATCTTCACTCCCTGAGTCGGGCAGCGTGATGAAAACTTCATACACTTCGTCACCAGCATAGTGTAGCATCATATCTCTTTTCCGTTTTGGTGTGGTTATGTTTAATGCTATCATCAGATTCTCCAACTTCGCCACCCATTTCGCCCATCTCAGTCCAGTGTTGCCACTGTCCGCGTGCACGGCGAACGCTGGAAATTGTGGTAGGCCGGTTGTCATTCTCCGTTTCCTATTGAATCAGCGTTGAGGTAGGCTCACCCAGCTTTCTGTATCACCAGTGCTCGTACGTAGGCTTGTACACGTAGGCTTCGATCGATATGACAGGAAAACACAATCACCCTGAGACGTTTTCAGTTTCAATTTCACTTGCTAGAAGTGAGAACAAGCGGCTGCGCTGCTCCAACTGGCAATTGCGGGACTGGGTATGCACGTTGACACCGCTTTTCCCGTACAGATGTGCGTTTGCTCCTTCGTTTCAACCGTCAAAACCTGTCTCTGGATATCCACTGATCTGTTTTCACCCACCTTTCAGTTCCTCGTCGCCAGAATATAGTGTTGTATGCTCTTGCCTCTGAACACTCAAGTAAACACGTCTGTTTCTGTTCATCACACAGGCTCAAAGACCCCGTATGTTTTATTCTCACCGTCACGTATTGCATATAGAATAGTGTCATAGATAACGTGTTCGTAAACGAATACAGAAAGTAAAGCATAACATACTAACTACACTACAGGACCCTGCTTGAAACGGTTAATTTTATGGAAATAAATAAAAACTACACAATGCTAAATTAAATATTTTCTCACTTTATTATCATAATACTGAGCGAATGATACATATACATGTACTGCATAATTATCCTGTAATTAATGAGTCCAGCTGTGGAGTGTTATCCGGAGTACAACACAATGTAGCGGTTTCATGAGTGAGCAAGGAAGGGAATAACCACCGATATCAATAGACGATGCACAGCGTAGTGTGTTAACTGGGAGTCATCTTTATTTGCCCTCGCGCCAAAACCCCACAATGCTCTGCCGGATAACATAACAATATGTGACCGTCTGAGTAGACGATGGTTATACCACATCTCCCTTTTTTCTTTACTTTTGTTTACAATGAGAAATAAGTGTACTCACGCAGTATCACTGTTTAATCGGAACACAATGATTAAGAATACTACTTGTGCGCATTACGTATTCATACTAGATTCATAAAAAAGTATCTTTCAAAGAACACTTAATGAAACCAAAAACTAAATGGAGGTAGACTGCTCCAAGTAATCTGCAAGAGCAGAGGATTATTGTGCCTCATTATTGCACTTGCTATTTTCTATTTATACACACAACACTGCTCCATGTAGCTGCCATCTAGTACTTCTCAACATATCTCTGTGGTGGTCTGCGCATTCTCTCAGACCGCCGTGGCTCCGAGTGTCTGGCTGTCTGCTGTGAACAGTTGGCCTGTGTTCGCTCGATGATGGCTCCACCTGTTCCGGAATCTCTGGTAGAGCGGTCATCTCCGTTGGGATAGCAATGCATTATTCGATGCATTTCGATGCTTCGATGATTTCGATGCATTTCTTCGATGTCGTGTGACAGTCCTGGTCACCATAATGATGATGCAGCGTTTTCACGTGTCTTCGTAATTCCTTGATGTGCGTCGTGAAGGTATCTCATTATGTCTTTCCTCAGGACATTGGGAAACACAAGTCTGCTCCCTCTCAAAAGCAGGCCTTCGTGGAGGCTCAAATTACCTCTCTCACTCCAGTACTTATTGACTGGTCCGTACAGCTTGTGTTTGGAGTCGGGCCATTCATGCTCCACATAGTATATCATAACCTTGAGTGTGTCATCCCTCTTAAGTTCACGCCTGATTTTGTCTAGTCGTGAGTGTGATGCTGGTAGGTTGATCATTACGGTATCAACGTAACATTGTGCCTCTACTTGGAGGTCACTAAAATCACCCACACATCTGAGCGGACTGCGAGATAACGCATCTGCGGTGTAGAGCAGCTTGCCTGGTACATTAGACGCATACCGAATCTCTGGATTCGCACTTGTAGTTCATCAATCAGCTTTGTTGAGAACAATGGTACCAGTGGTTTATGATCAGCTTCGACTTTGATAGAAGACATGCCCCTCAAAAGGTCTTGCCAATGTTCGAAAGCCCATGTCGTTGTTAAAGCTTCCTTTTCGGTATGAGCGTACCTACACTCATTGTCTGTCATCGACCTGCTGGCATATGCTACTGGTCGCAGATCACCAGAGGTTGTCTCTGAAGAAGCACAGCTCCCAGACCGAAACTGCTCGCATCAGCTGACACAACTGTCTCCAGCTCTGGATCGTACATGGCCAGTATTCGCTCAGAAACCAGTTCATCCTTGACATCCTTGAATGCAGCTGCTTGTTCTGGGCCCCATGACGATGCAGCACTCTTCTTGAGAAGATCTCGTAGCGGTTTAGTACGTTCAGCCATGTGCAGGCAAAACTTCGTCAGCTGATTAGCCATACCTAGGAATCTTTTGAGTTCATTGACGCTACTGTGTTCATTGACATTCCTGTGGCTCACAGAAGTCAACGATAGCCTTGGTCTATGCTTGATCTTTTTGGATTCCTCGTCCATCGATGATCTGACCCAGATAATCTAAGCTTGCTAAGGAGAACACACACTTTTCTGGATTGAGGGTTATGCCTGCTTACTGCAGGCCATCCAAGACTGACCTCAGTCGCTCGTTGTGCTCGACTTGGTTGCGCCCTGTCACGATGATGTCGTCTACATGGCATATCACTCCAGGTAAGTCTTAGGATCTAATCCATTTCATTTTTGGTAGTACTCAGGCGCTCACGTGATACCATATGGGAGACGCTTGTACATGAACCATCCGAACGGCGTTATAAATGTCGTTAGCTTGCGACTCTCTTGATTCAAGACTACCCGATGGAACCCTGAGTTTGCATCTAGCTTGGAATACACAGTATTTTCTGCTATTCTGCCAAGCGTGCACTCTACCGTAGGCATCGGGTATATTTATCTCCTTACCGCTTCATTCAGCCTGGTCAGATCTACGCACATCCTGACGTCTCCACTGGGTTTAGTGACAACGACGATAGGTGCACACCATTCAGTTGCTTCTTCTACTGGCTCTATAACATCGAGCATTACAAGGCGACTAATCTCCCTCTCCACCTTCTTGAGTGAGGAAAGCGCAACCCTGCATGCTGTCGTAAGACAGAAAGGCTTGACACCTTCTTTTAGGCCTATGTCATGTTCGCCTTCGAGCTGTCCCAGCCCAGTAAACAGCTTCGGGTATGCCTCCACCACACGTTCGTAGAGGGGGTACTGGTGCCTGGGCATCAATCGGCCTGATGGTGCAGGTGCCGGCGATGTGGTGGATCAGGCCCAAGCTTCGTATGGCTGGAACACCCAGTAGTAGCTTGGATGCATTTTTCTTTTACCTGGGTTTTGCCGTGGCATAAACTCAAAACCCGTGGCATAAACTCATGTCGCATACCAGATTGTGTTTAGTCGCATGTCTCCTGCTCCGACCAATTCCTTGTTGGGCATCGACAGCTTGTCGAAGGAATGATGGTATGCTTGCTCCGGCATTACTGACACTTGTGCACCTGTGCCAATGCACCATATTAATTCTTCTGTGCTAGCAGTGAGCTTGATGTGCCATCCTGGATCGGATGCAATTTCTTCTCTCACGCCTCCCACGAACGTGTGCGTTGTCTGCTTGTAATGGTGGTTCTCACCTTCTATCTGTCTGATGCGAGTCTGTCCACTACTTTTGCAGATCGCCTCGAAGTGGCCTGTCTTCGTGCACTTCATATACTTATGGTTGGCCGCCGGGCAGTTATGCTTTCCAAAGGGATGGCTTCTGTCGCAGTAACTGCATCTCGCACCTTGCTGTGGAGTATTCCTGCGTATTCGGTCATAGATAATTCCATTCTTCCACAGCGTATTTTGTGATACTCGTGGCTGGTGCCTTACTGCTTCAATAGTAGCTGCTTTAGATTCCTTTAGCTTCGGACTTGTAGCTTCTCTCAATGACAGTACTTGGACTGCCTTTTCCAATGACAGTCTATCACCTTAGTCATAGAGCTTTAGCTTAGCACCATCATCAGTGCATGAGAATGTTAGTTTGTCACGTACGGCTTGCTCGTGAAATTGTTCTGAAAATTTGCACTCGCTGGCTCTGTCTCTCACTGTGTTAAACCACGCATCTAAAAATTGCCCTGGCTCTCTCATTTTACGCTGGCGCTTCTCACGCATTCATATGGGGTCATTGCATGGTAGCCAGTGGTTGGCCAGTTGCAGCAACGCGTAGATATTTGGGGAAATGTCCTATGAGCACGATTTGATTGCCTGTGCTGGAGTTGAAGGTCGCTTGCTGTTGACAACATTGTTGTAGGTGGTGTTGACCTCCAATACAGAACAACTAATCTCCTTTTCCATATGCGTTTAATTATACTAAAACGATTGACTGAAATACAAAAACAAACCAAACTTTAGTTCCCAAACTAAAAACCAGGGAGAGCCACCACACAGTGCCACAACAATCCTTATTCACACAAACTATTCAACCAAGCTTAGTCTTGTGGGCCTAACAGTAACAGTACAATGATTAACATTCCACAACCCATTTCAAACGTAGCTAGTCTCGGTCGGACCCTTATACACAGGAAAATGTATAGTGAAATATCGCTTATGTCGCCAATCTTGTAACAACCTGCCAGGTCCTACACAGTGAAATTCCATTTGGGAATTAAACCTACTTTCACACAAATTACATGAATTAGAGTGTGCTGCTTCTTGGTTACTTTTACCTATAACATGTTAACTCTAAACACGACAAAAAGTTATACTCACAAAACATTATGGAGCCTAGCAATTCTAGAAATTATGTCTTCAAAATATCAACACAACACCATCATGGCCTTCACCAAGTCGACCTCTCGTGGCTCTCGTCTGCGCAGGCCCAGAACCATATGCTCAGAACACTATCCCACAATAACGGGTGTTGCTATCTCCCGGGCGTGGAGAGAGGTCACGTGATAACGTTGACGATGACGTTCAAAACGTTAACGCTAACGCCTCTTATTCTCTGCTCTCTCTCTCTCTGCTGCTCTGCTCTCTCTCTCTCTCTCTTGATTCTATTCTATTATTCCTGGACATCAATCTTGATGTAAGCATATCTACAATAAGGAGTAATCAT